ATTGCGGCTAATCTTCCCCTATAACGCGGGCCGGGCTTAGAGCGCGTGAAACTCATCACTACCTCGTAAGGGCGTTGAGACCATAGCATGTTACACGAAAGCGCCGCTTTCTCTGTAGTGTTGTCACAGAGCTGCCCGCCTAGAAGCGCCGCTTTCTCTGTAGTGTTGTCACACAAGATAAGCACGCCGCCCGCCTGCTGGCCGGGCGAATCGAAGTTCTCTTCCGGTCAACTGTCTACCCAGTCAAGTGCAAAAACACAGTAGAATTACGCAACGCACGCTGCTGGTGTGCTTCCTGCTCGCAAGGAAAGAAAGAAGAGCGACAAAGTCAAGTTCAGATTGGACTGTTTGCAGCATGGAAGCAGATTACCCAAAAAATCCCTGGGAACAATGAAAAAAAAAGATATCTCGGTAACGAAAACTATAGGGGGCTGTATTGGCGAGATCCAACGGTGAACAGCTGCCCAAAAGAAATACCGCCTGGAAGTCCGAGGACCTTTAGTACTGTACTCTACCCCCGAACCAGCAGCCTTCGCGCCAAGCAAGACCGCCCTTGTCCCCTTCCTTTCTTCATTCCGCCCCCTTCTTTGCTTTGTTCCAATAGAGTCTAAGGCAAAGAAGTTCGTATACCTACTTTACTTACTGGACGAAAGGGAACGAAGTTTCGTTTCCGGGTTTCTCGATTGGATTCAGTCAGCGTCACGACATAATCAAAAGGAAGGAGTGAGGCCTTGGTTACCGGCGAACGAAGCTATGAACGAACAAAGTGAAGCTATTAGATAAGGCGACCCTCTCGAGTTTCCTTCTTTAGCAGCCTCAATTGAAGTAGCCTTTCGTCGCCCTACCAAAGCAAAGGTGCGCTCCGCCCGTTCCGATCTCCGATCCGGAAGTTCTCGCGAAGAGAATAAGATGCTGCTTCCCCTCCCTCTGCCTTTTCCCGCTTTGCTAATCTTCCACTAATAACGCGGGCCGGGCGGCGACGGGCGCGGGAGGAAGAAACGAAACCTAAGATTAAGATAAGGCGCTCTTATCTTAGGTCCTTTTTTTCAGCGCAACAGAGGAAAGCGCCCTCTTTTTGTCATCCCTGCAGCTTTCCAGATTTTGTATTGAACGCATGGCGTAGCTAGGACCCTTCCAATCATGTTTGGGCCTATGTTTAAACCCACTCCCTATTTGACTAAGGATGGAAAGAATGCCCGCCAAGTTCAGATAAGGGAATGCTTCCCCCAACCATTAAAAAATTCCGGCTCGGCCCGGGAAAGCGCTGGGAACAACAGAAAGGAAGGGGTCCATGTAGCTGCTGCGCCCGCCCCCTTCTTAGTCAATGGGGCACAGCAGGTTCGGCATCTACTACAAAAGAGAGAATCCACTTCAGATAAGCACGCCTCTGCTAGGCAGCGTGTGGAATGGCCGAGAGCGGACCTTTTTGGATATATAATCCAAGTCGAGAGTAGAGTTACAGGAACAGCCGTCTGATGGAAAACTACTTTCACGTTCGGTTCAGAGAGCACTTTTTTCGTTGAGAATTCCCCGTTCCCTTTCGTGTGAATTCCCCAGTTAGAATTCTAAACTTGTGGGGCCCTATTTATTCCATCTCTCGAGCCCCGAAGAAACCCCCCCTCCCTTCGGACTCCATATCTCTTTTGACTCTATATATGTGGGCACCTGATATCTATGAGGGTTCACCCACCCCGGTTACAGCATTTCTTTCTATTGCGCCTAAAATCTCTATTTCTGCTAATATTTCACGTGTTTCTATTTATGGTTCTTATGGGGCTACATTGCAACAAATCTTTTTTTTCTGCAGCATTGCTTCTATGGTCTTAGGAGCACTGGCCGCCATGGCCCAAACGAAAGTAAAAAGACTTCTAGCTTATAGTTCAATTGGACATGTAGGTTATATTCGTACTGGTTTATCATGTGGAACCATAGAAGGAATTCAATCACTACTAATTGGTATCTTTATTTATGCATTAATGACGATAGATGCATTCGCCATAGTTTTAGCATTGCGGCAAACCCGTGTCAAATATATAGCTGATTTGGGCGCTCTAGCCAAAACGAATCCTATTTTGGCTATTACCTTTTCCATTACTATGTTCTCATACGCAGGAATACCCCCGTTAGCCGGCTTTTGTAGCAAATTTTATTTGTTTTTCGCCGCTTTGGGTTGTGGGGCTTACTTCCTAGCCCCAGTGGGAGTAGTGACTAGCGTTATAGGTCGTTGGGCGGCCGGAAGGTTGCCACGAGTAAGTCAGTTTGGGAGACCGAAGGCAGTTCTCCGTGCACCGGACACGTAGCTTACCGAATCAGTTGCAACACGGATGGGAATGCATGCTACGAAAGAGAGGGTCGGGTCTGATCCATCAACCATCTACTCAATATCCTTGTACGAGTCCACAATCACTACACGAGATGAACCTTGGTTTGGTGAATTGAAGTTGGCCTTAGGTCTAATAGGACTCTCAGTTACTGCGCGCGATCGTATACTGAGGTGCTCCCCGCCGGTTGTTGGAACGACGCGAGCCGGGCCGGGTTTCAATTCAGAAAGATGAAGGGCCAAAAAGTATAAATGGGGGGTTCCAAATTCCCCATCTCATTGGGGGCGGAAAACGAATCGACATCTCGATGTGATACAGCCCTTTCTTTTTTAGTTGGGAAAGAACGGCGAAGTCCATCCGAACCGTCCAATGAAGAATAAGAGGAGAGCAAAGCGCCAATGGCGCGCGAAGCGCATGCGGAACGGGCACAAAGAAAAAGAAGTGTGGAGGAGAAGCAGCCGAGCTCATTCCCTTCGCTTCCTGGGCCCAAAGCAGTGCAGTCTTTCCTGGCCAAATCAAGGATTGGGGGCTTCTTGCTACGCTACTTAACTATAAAAATCCATTTTAATTCATAATATATATGAATAGAAAGATAGAGACATCCATCTATCCTATCTTTTTTTTTATTTGGATATCTAAAAAAGAATAGATTTCATTCAACCTTTGATTCAAAGAACTGCGCTTAGCCCCCCCCCGCTCATGAAAGGGCTCTGATGCAATGGATGGCAGAGGGTCCATAGTACCCGAAGCACTGGAGTAATCCAGTAGCCGGGAAGGGGCCTAGAAGTGCTGCCTACTACACCACACTACACTTGGCTCTACACATTTACAGAGTAACCCCTGTCCAGTGCCCGGCAGAGCTAAGAGGGCTTCAATCCTTGCTCTTTATCTCCATCTTCGCCCAGGCTAACGGGGCCTTACTTATTCAGGGGGGAGGCTCGAAAAGCACTGTTGAGAGAAATCTCTTTGTGGCCCCCCTTGATTCTCTACAGGGTTCCAAACCTTTCTTCAACATAGGTGACAACGAGCGAGGCAGAGATGGAAGAGATCAAACACGGGAATAAGAAGCAAGCTCGCCTTCTTTTTTGATCATTTTTATAGAGAAGAAAGTGGACAAAACAGACTCGCATTTCTCATCAAACAAATACAAAAAAAGAAGAATATTGAAAACGCTTCTAAAACCCAACCCTTTCTGTCGTAGAGCCGTGTATTGTAAGTGATCCGAACCTGCTTGGAGCGAGCCCCCCATAGAGGCAAGTGAAGTTGGTGAGCCGTATGATGGGCAACTATCTCCTGCGGTTCGGAGAGGACTCAGCTGTTAGTTAGTACCCCCTTGGCTTGGTTTCGGGGTGGACCCTTTCACTCTATTTTATTATATACGCTTAGCGAAAAGAATGTTTTTTGATACACCTAGGACATGGATTCTATATGAACCAATGGATCGTGACAAGTCGTTACTACTAGCAATGACTTCCTCTTTCATTACTTCATTCTTTCTATATCCCTCTCCTTTGTTCTCAGTTACTCATCAAATGGCACTCAGTTTATATCTTTAAGTTCGATCATTGACAAGGTTCAAAGAAAGGGTGGGTGGATGGCGATTAGTGGGTCGCTAGTTTCAACACTATGGAGGTTCAACTCCTCCTTAATCGCTGTCAAATCAACGAAAGTACGAGATCGGTTATCTACGAAATTCAAAAAAATCTTTTATGAACGAACTTCAGACCTTCCACTCCTTTCTACTACTCCACTCGCTTGGGGAAATCCTTATAAGAAATATTCCTATTTTTGGAAAGGAAGGAATGCAGGGAACAACTCTTTCCTTTCCACCGGTTCTTGAAAGCTATCAATCCCCGTCTGAATAGTGAGAAAGACTTTTCATAATTCGATCAAATCGATCGAGAATCTCATCGTTCTGTTAGGCGGGCACCTGACCTGCCAAACGTATTATTCTCCCTGCCAAGTTTACTACCCGCTAATGGATCCGATAAGAGATTCCAATAGTTAGAGTACTCTTCGCTACCGGTACCGGAAAATAAGGCACAGAGCAAGGGGTTTCATTCATAACGAGTAAGTCCCCCGGCAGTCTTTCATGAAGACATTGGAAAAAACTTTCTTCTAAGATGGTGAAGGCACAAGCAAATACATTATCCACGCCTTTAACCCTAGGCATAAGATACTTATGGTCACTGCTAACCCTGACCCTGGTAAGGATGTATCATGAGAAGGTAACTGTGCCAAGTACGGGTTGGCGCTCTTCGCGGAAAATAGCATTGGGACATGCTATTACCTATGTATGGTGACCAGAGTCTGTCCGGTCAAACGGAAGAAAGCAAGCAGTGGTTAAGCTTACGTAATCTTTAGTTCTAGCCCTATAATCTAAGTAGAAAGGCCTCTCCCGTTAGCGAGCAGGCAAGGGAACTTCCATCGATCGAGTTTCAGTCGCTTTTTCTGTTGATCCAGGCGAGAAAGCTTACTAAGCCTGCCTCTGCTTTTGTCTGTCTTTCAAGCAAGGTTCGCAAGAAAGTTAGAAAGCCTTCAAAGAACCGTTATCCCACAGGGTTTCTCCCGCTAAACTACTTTGAGTCCGCACTTCTATCGTGCATTCTAAGACCGTGCCAGCCTAAAGAAGAGACTCCACTAGGCTGTAATCTTCTTGTTTCTAAACTCAATCTAGGGTTTATGCGGCTCTCTGAATAATATGTCCACTGTAGGGACTAGGGTACATACTGAATCAACTATAAGAGGGAATAGCCAGAACATGCTCTTGAAATTATATAATAATGGAAAGATATTCTTCGATTAATGATTAACTCTTATCAGCTCACCCGGACATAATAGAAATGAAACGGAGGGCTTTCCTTTTTCAGCTGCATTGCACTGCCGCATAAACAATGGATCCGCTGGGCTGGATGAGCAACCTTCTATCTGGCCTCTCTACTCATAATAGCTTCACTTCTAATAACTTCGTTCGTTCGGCTTGCTACTTTTAATCAGAAAAGGAAGATGGAGCAAGGCAAAGGAAAAATAAGTTGTCCCCTCCTCTTCTCTGGTAACCCGCCGCCGCATATGTAGAAAAAGAGGGAGCGGAGAAGGAAGAACAACCTTTTTACTTTGGCACATGAGGTGGCGGGTTTGGCTAGGTAACATAATGGAAATGTATCGGACTGCAAATCCTGGAATGACGGTTCGACCCCGTCCTTGGCCTCGAGGAGTGGTGAGCAGCACGGAACTTTAATCAATCAAATGGCATTAGGGTAGGGGGCTTTCCTTTGTTAAAAATCCACGTGGGATAAAGATTCAAGCTTGGATTGAGTACACAGATATGCAGCAAAGTGGACTCAGGTTTGGGCAAGTGACTCTCAGATTAGGCCCTATTATTGTGGCTCGGGTTTACTTTTTCAGCATTTAAAGGAGTATATGCATGTCATGTTGCTTTCTCTGCTTTGGTTTACCGAAAGTGAGGTCGACACCTTCTTTCGGTGGTACCTTTTCTGTCTAGCTCGTTCTCTTATTCCCAGCTCGAAAGAAAAATGCTTTAATCCAACGAACGAAGCTATTAGAAGTGAAGCTATTGGAATCGATAAAATAGGGACTGGTATAAATATTCTAATTGGTTCTTTTTTTTATATTATCCTTCTTTTTTTCATCTCTTTCTTTAGCTATTTTCTACGCATCTACTTAGTTTCTCGCTTAGGTAGTTGTTGTAGTCATGTTCCTATTTTTTCTTTTCTAATTATGTACGCTTCGGGTGGGGAAATCTCTGGGCCTTCCGGTCCACCGAGCTCGTCTTCGTGGACGGAGGATTCATTCGAAATGGGGGTCTTATTAGAACCTTTTTCGGATACCGAAATTGAGGGAAATTCCTCGACCCCAGGGGTGGCGGGCGATGAAGCAGGGCCTTCGCTCCCACCAGCAGACCTTACTCCAAATGGGAGCCTTGAATCCTCCATAAGGGCTCGAGTTGTAAAACTCGAAAATGAAGGAAGCATCTTTCTCCTTGATAAAGAGAGGGGGGAAATTAGGACTAAGCTCAAAAGCTGTTCTTCCCAGTCAGAATATAACCTAGAACTGGAGTTCGAGAATCGGGATCTCCAGATTCGAGAAGGGAAACACCAGTGCTATTCCTTTTTTCAAAAAATTCTTGCTCAGCATCCTTACTTGTCCAAGGATGCCCCATACGCTCCTGACGAACTCTTTAGTGACTTCTTTGACGAGAAGCGGACGGAGCTTGACACCCACGGCGAGTGGAGCCCAAAAGAACGTGACATCAAGGAAATACAATTCCTAAGTCAAGTCTCTTCCGATCTAAAAAGAAGGGGCCCCGCCTCTATCTATATGAAAGAGATTTTCGGTGTCGAGAGATTTGAGATTCCGTAAGTAACTCAGTGAGTGCGAGGGCTTGGAAGAAGAAAATGAAATACGAACAACCGCGCTGGTCGTAATAGATCTACTTTCATGCTGGAGCAAGAACTAGCATGAAAGTTCCATTTCAGGGAAGGACGACGTACTATGATACTTTCTGTTTTGTCGAGCCCTGCTTTGGTCTCTGGTTTGATGGTTGTACGTGCTAAAAATCCGGTACATTCCGTTTTGTTTCCCATCCCAGTCTTTCGCAATACTTCAGGTTTACTTCTTTTGTTAGGTCTCGACTTCTTCGCTATGATCTTCCCAGTAGTTCATATAGGAGCTATAGCCGTTTCATTCCTATTCGTTGTTATGATGTTCCATATTCAAATAGCGGAGATTCACGAAGAAGTCTTGCGCTATTTACCAGTGAGTGGTATTATTGGACTGATCTTTTGGTGGGAAATGTTCTTCATTTTAGATAATGAAAGCATTCCATTACTACCAACCCAAAGAAATACGACCTCTCTGAGATATACGGTTTATGCCGGAAAGGTACGAAGTTGGACTAATTTGGAAACATTGGGCAATTTACTTTATACCTACTATTTCGTCTGGTTTTTGGTTCCTAGTCTTATTTTATTAGTAGCCATGATTGGGGCTATAGTACTGACTATGCATAGGACTACTAAGGTGAAAAGACAGGATGTATTCCGACGAAATGCTATTGATTTTAGGAGGACTATAATGAGGAGGACGACAGACCCATCACGATCGACTAAGAGGAAAGTCGCACGGAGATATTGGTTCAAATCCAATTCGTGATCACAGACGAGAAAATAGACCCTTAAGCATGCCTATCCTACACGACTTCCTTTCCAGCGTTTTTTCCTAACATAACAGCGGCTATATGCTTTTTTCCAGCACTCGAACGAAAAGCAGAAGGAGCCGCTTCAAGGTCTTCGGCAACGAGTTCAACTGCTGACCCAAGTGGAGATCAAAGAGCTGCATCTCAATCTACGCAATTTTCCGATCTGGGAAGGAACGAACGAAGCTATTAAAAGTGAAGCTATAAGAAGAAGAAACCTGGAAAGAGGCTACTTCAAATCCTGGTTTGGGGTTATAGTTGATGGTTATTTCTGAATTCCATGGCCAGACAATTCTAGGCTTGCTAACCTTCCCACGCGTACGTCATGCCAAAGCTCAATTATCAAACCTTTGAAATCGGTTCAACTAACCGCATCCCTTGTGCCAAAAAGACCGAGGTTGGATGTCGGTGATTTAGAATCGAAGTTTTATCAACTTCAAGCTGTCGCATAACCGCTTTATGCTAATTGCTAACACTAAACCAATCCTGCCAGTTTGAATCCTCTAACCATGCCGTTTATCTCTTGACTTTCCTTTTCTTTTGCCGGCTAGTCTACTCCTTTACCCGCTTGCCCTTTTTCTGTGTTTGCGTGGCATCTGTTCTCTTAGTAAGAGGCTGCGCTCTGGACCGTTCCCCAAAGGCAATGATGGGAGAAGAAAGAATAGACTTTGAGACCAGACCTCCACTGGCGTTTTTGCAATGTCCTCCCGACCCGTGCTCTGAAAAGATCATGCATGAGATGAAGCTCGTGTATCTGTTTCAGTAAAGACCGAAAAGAAAGAACCGCTGTTCGATTTTCGTGTTACCTTTTCTTCATCGTCAATGCGGCTCGTCCCTTCCTTGGCGAAAAGGGGGACCGCCTCCGCCGATGGTTTTCGAGCGTCTATCGATACTGGCCCTTCCCTTTCCATTCTATCAGCGGGACACAGGACTCTCCTCGGCTTTGAGCTCTTCCCCCGATGCCTGAATGCTCTTTTACCGAGCAGAGGACTCGCTTTCTTTTTGGTAGACTGATCGCTAATCACTAATCAAGAAATTGCCTTTGTAAGATCAAGCTCAGCTCGTGGATCTTTGATTCTTTTAGACGAGTCGTTGGTCTTTTCGATTTTCCTTTGACCTAGTCTGAATAGTAAATGGGTATAGTCCCGGTTGATGCTGCTGACATAGATGTGGATGGGGCGCTTTCAAAACCCCTTGATTAAGAGGTTGAGGGGGCTTCCGATCCTCTTTCGTGTGCAACGGTTAAGAGTGGAAAACCGCTCCTCTAACTTGAGTAGCTTGATGCTCCTATGACAGTCCTAGTTGGAACTCGTACCCCCCCCTCGCTATCTATCGTCAGTTATTGTCCCAGGCGAGGAACTGCTTGTATCAGACCTGATTCTCGCGCAGGAACAAGCGAGCGTAGGCCCTGCCCTTCACCCAGTAAGAAGTGCTTTTCTTGGCGAAGTGAGGCGATCGGCGGTGAGCTCCCTCTAAACTCTAGAGGCTATGATAAAACTTCCGTACAAGAAGAGATGGGAAAGAGGTAAAGTAGTATAAGAATTGGCTTAGGCTTCAGTCTACGTTAGTCCTGTGCTAAGCAAGAATTCTTCCTTTAATGCCTACAGAGAGACCTGCTAGAGCTCTTTTAAGGTCCTTTCTAGTTTGTCTTGAACCAGTAAATAGGATTGAATTTCGAGTCGAAGAAGAGGTCAACAGCCCTAGTGGCAACGAATGCCAATAAGCAAGTAGAAAAGTGGATTGAGATTCAAAAGAAGAATGTAAGAAAGAGGGAAAAGACCGAGGCCTCGGGCTCTCTAGACTGAGTGAACATGCCCACCCCTTCTTTCATAAAAAGGCTTGAAAGGCTACTAAGCGGATGATCCGAAATGCTAAAAAAGATCCTTGCTAAGCTTCTTTCCCAGGTAGTTTCGGCTATCTCGAACGATCAACCAATAAATATATAGGTCGAAAGGCATCTAGGCCACTGGATCTAATTGCTTGACTTCTCCCTCTACCGCTGGCTAGTCTCTAACCCCTGTAGGCAGATACCTCTACTCAAGCCTTTCTGTTGCCACCAATCCATCTGTCTATTCCTTTTTCATTAGCTAACCGGCTTCAGAGATAAGCAGAAAACCTAAGCAGCTCTAAAAAGAAGAACAATAACCCCACCTCAACTGGTGAGCCCGAACTAACCAAACCCCATGAGGGTTTCCATTCCATCTACCGCTCTGAAGCTTGTGTAGCACCCACATGTAGAAGTATAGGAAGCTCCCCACCTATGGAAGCAGCATTCCTTCTAGTTCGTACGGTCCCAGAAGTAGCTTTACCACCATCTCGTCTAGTTATAGAATGATAGGGCTACCGGTTCCGGCAAAGGTATACAAAAGAAAAGTATAAAAGCTAGACTAAATGAAGTTGGAAAGCAAGTTTGAAAAGAAGAAGTATGGGAGTGAGTGGAGTAGTAGAAAGGAGTGGAAGCGAGTTAGCACTCTTAGTTCACCTTTATAATTACGTATGTAAGTGTCTTTTTTCTTGCTTTTCTAGTAATAAAAGGTGATCCTCCGCCCAATAGAGCTTACCGTGTGTAGATCGAAAAGGTCTCACGAAGCCGGTCACCAGTAGGTCTATGAAAGGATTTCGAGCTTGATAAGCTGCAAACCAGACGTACTTGAAGCGGGACAGGAAAGTCTTCTTTTCAACCGTTAAAAAGGTCTAGGCGCTTTCCCACTCTCTTGAGATAGAATGCCTAAAGTGCTATTTTTTTTCTCATTCGTTGGTGGTTCTAGAGTTCTTTCTTTTCTATTCTTTTCATTTTTCTTAGTGGTTTTTCTTTTTCATTTTGGGTTGACTCCTAATAGCTTCACTTCGTTCGTTCCATAGGAATGAATGTGAACCAATTGTTGACAGAGATGATTTGATTAGCTTGGGAGATTGTATCAATCCATTTGATGAGATCACAGGGCTCGAAGCTAATCTTGGAAAAGACACAGTCTTCTTTGCTGGGGTTGAAG